CTGGTGCTGGTACTTATCCTCCTAGTCAGGAGCTCCCCTCTCGTGAGCGGATCCGTTAGTGGTACGAGCGCCGTTGCACACTTCGGAGTGGTGCGCCTCGTCTCACGGACCCAGCTGCTGCTGGTGCTGTGGACCCTAGCGTTGGAGCTGCTGGTGGTGCTGCGGACCCGAGAGTTGGAGGTGCTGCTGGTGCTGAGGACCCGGGCGTTGGGGCTGCGGCTGGTGCTGCGGACCCTGGCGTTGGAGCTGCTGCTGGTGCTGCGGACCCTGGTGTTGGAGTCCCTGCTGGTGCTGAGGACCCGGGCGTTGGAGCTGCGGCACGTGCTGTGGACCCTGGTGTTGGAGCCACTGCTGGTGTTGAGGACTCGGGCGTTGGTGCTGAGACTAGTACTGAGAACCTGGGCGTTGGAGCTGCTGCTGGTTCTGGTACTGTCGCTGGGGGTCCTGGTGCTGTCCCTGCTGTGTCTGGAGTTGCCGCGCGCCCTCAGCCGTACTTCGTTCCGCTCCTTCAGCAGGTTCTTAGTCTCTCGCCTCCTCCTGGTCCTCCTCCCTTAGCGTGTTCACAGCCTGTCCCGTCCCAGTTACAGTTGCAGCCAGCCTCCCCACTACCTGCTCCTTCTCCTTACACTGGTCCTACCGGCGGTCTTACTGAGCGTCGTGAGTCTGCGTCTCGTCCTGCGTCGCCTGCCCGTCCTGCTAGCGCTAGTGCTCGTAGTTCGCATCAGCGTCCTCCTCCTGCCCCTGGCACGCACCGGATGTCTCTACGTCCGTCTACTGCTCCTCTGCGTGCCCCTTTGCCTTCTCCTCCTGCGTCCTCTCTTCCTGCTCTCGCCGACCCTGCGTCGGACTCTCTTCGTGCTGCCAGTCCTACTGTCACGCGTCTCCTTGCTACTGCCGTCACTGACCCTTCTTTCGAGTCTTCTGCTGCGTCTGCCCTAGTTGCTGAGCTCGTCGACTTTGCTGCTCACTGTCGCCTAGACTACGCTGCGAGTCTTGTCGCTGAGTCTGAGTCTGTCTGTCCTCCGTCCGTCGGGGGTGCGTGTGCCCTTGGCACGGACGTCCTTGAGGACAGGCAGGAGGAGTTCCACTTCTTGGCCGCTGCTTCACCTCATCTCGTGTCCGTACTGCTTACCCCTGAGGGAGACCCGGATGCACTTGACATCCCGACTCCGCGCTCTTACGCGGAGGCGATAGAGGGTCCCTACTCCTCTCAGTGGCAGGCAGCTATGGATGCAGAGATGGCTTCCTGGAAGTCCACAGGCACCTATGTTGACGCTGTCCCCCCTCCTGGGGCGAACATCGTCAGTGGCATGTGGATCTTCAGGGTGAAGCGGCCGCCGGGTTCTCCGCCTGTCTTCAAGGCGCGTTACGTGGCTCGTGGCTTAAGTCAGCAGCAGGGAGTTGACTACTTTCGGACCTTCTCCCCCACCCCGGAGATGACCACTCTTCGGAAACTGCTGCACGTTGCTGCTCACCGGGACTACGAGCTGCACTCTCTCGACTTCAGCACAGCTTTCTTGCAGGGCAGCCTGCACGAGGAGATCTGGCTGCGCCGCCCACCTGGCTTCACTGGGTCTTTCCCTCCTGGTACCCAGTGGAGTCTCCGGCGTCCAGTCTACCGTCTCCGCAAGGCGCCACGTGAGTGGCACGACACACTGAGGACTACGCTTGCGGCTCTTGGGTTCGCTCCTTCTACTGCCGACCCGTCGCTGTTTCTGCGCACCGACACCTCTCTACCGCCGTTCTACATCCTCGTGTACGTCGACGACTTGGTCTTTGCCACAGCTGACATTGCTTGACTCGCCTACGTGAAGTCCGAGCTGCAGAAGAGACACACGTGCACTGACCTGGGTGAACTGCGCAGCTACCTTGGCTTGCAGATCACACGGGACAGAGCACGCCGCACCATTACCCTGACTCAGTCACACATGGTGCAGCAGGTCCTTCAGCGCTTCGGCTTCACGTACTCCTCGCCTCAGGCCACTCTTCTGTCTACTCGCCACTCGCTCTCAGCTCTGCCTTCGGATGAGTCCGTAGAGTCGAGTGGCCCGTACTCAGTGCTTGTTGGCTGTCTCATGTACCTGATGACCTGCACACGACCTGACCTTGCATACCCTCTTAGCATTCTCGCACGCTATGTTGCTCCTGGGAGACACCGACCAGAGCACATGGCTGCAGCGAAGAGGGTGTTGCGCTACTTGTGCAGTACGTCGGGCATGGGGCTAGTGCTTGGAGGGCGGAGTCCAGTGGTCCTCACTGGACACGGAGACGCTTCTTGGGCTGACGACCAGGCTACGCAGCGGTCGTCACAGGGTTACACCTTCAGCCTTGGTTCCGGCTCTGTTTTGTGGCGGGCTACTCGCTCGTCTTCTGTTCTCGGCTCCAGTTGTGAGGCTGAGATCTACGCAGGGGCCATGGCTGCTCAGGAGCTTTGCTGGCTCACCCACCTGCTGACCGACCTTGGAGAGCCGCCTCGTTCTCCTCCACAACTGTACGTCGACAACAAGGCCATGCTGGCCTTGTGTCGAGAGCAGCGTCTGGAGCACAGAACGAAGCACATTGCTCTCCGTTACTTCCTTGCTCGTGAGCTACAGCAGCGTGGTCAGTTGCGGCTTGCGTACGTGGCCTCTGAGGCCAACACTGCTGATGTCTTCACCAAGGCACTTCCGCCTTGTGATCATCAGCGCTGCTGTACCCAGCTGGGTCTTGTGTCTGTCTTGCCTCACTTGCTCTCCTCTTGACCCTCTTTGTACTGTTACATATATATATTACTGCTCTTGCTTGTTTAGTCTTTTATATATATATATGTACTCCTGCATGTGAACTGGCCTTGTGGCCTTGAACTTGTGCTCGGATTGTGTGGTGACGTTGTGATCCACCCTGAGCTTGCTTTGCTTTGCTTTGCTTTACTTGACTGGTCTTGTGACCCCTAGTTCTCCCCCACTTCGCCTATGGGGGTGTGTCAAACATTATATATGTTGTTTTAGTTGTTTAGGCTACAGTGGGTTAGCCTATAAGGGGTACACATTTCTAGGTTTTCATACTTGTACTCATTTTCACTGTTAGTTCATTCATTCTTGTTCAACACACTGCGCATGACGAAGCGAGGCGTGTCAGGTGGGTGGGGGGTGACGTGGCTTGTGGTAGGGGGGTGTGACATGGCAAGTGGGCCGGGTTGTTGGTGGACGTGTCTGATGGCGCAGGGTGTGACGTGGCAATTTCAAACAGTGTTGCTAGTCACCATCCCATGGTCACGCGGCCACCCTCATAACTGCTGGTTTCTCTCTTCCATGTGGTGTTGTATACCTTACACCCCTGCGCAGAACAAAGCCTACTTAGTGTGCTCTCAGCTCATGTTTCTGAACCCGCCGGAGAAAATACAGTACTACCCTGCACCGGAGGAAGTGTTCGAAGCGTTCTCTGTCCACTTGTCTGCAGAAGGGCTCGAGGCAATGAAGCTGCTGTGGCTGCACAATGACAAGTCAACCATGGGAGTCTTCAACCACCAGCTGTCCTCAACAAGGTCAACTATCAACTCCACCCTCAGGCCAGTAGCATACACCAGCATGGGCCTTGCCGATTACAGCCATCTCGTGGATAGCCTGCCCACTGAGCTACACCCAACGACCTGGTTCGGTGACGATCAACTCCTAGCCGAGTACAGAGATGGTATGTGCAGTGCAACTCGAAAACACAATATGCCCTACCATATGCCCCTTGGCAGCTACATATCACCGTGCGATGTGGCTTACCCTGACTCTCATCCCCCCATTTGATTTCTCTACAAAACCCTTTCCAACCCATACCCTCCCTGCCAAAAAGCAGAATAGTGGGCCCTCAATTGGCACTTTGACAAGGCCACCGGGACACCCTTCAGCAACCCCTTGTTCGCTTATGCGTTCAAACTCTCCTTCAAGAGGGGCGGGGCGGTGTTCACCAAGTTCAAGAGCCGCATGGTGGCATGGGGCCTGGTTTCGGTAAGGATGTAGATATGTGTTTGTACCCCCATGCCTCATCCCCTTAACCCCTTGCCTGTACTTCAGCTAAAACCCTGGTCGATTAGGCCTTTGCAGTTATGTAGATAGTGACGACTGCATCACCGCTTTCAGTTGCCTCATTTACCCGTAACCTTCCCTCCTCATAAACCATCCACCCAACCCTACACCACATTGCAGATCGAATGGCCCCTTCTGCAGGATAAGCGCCGCAAGCGAATCAGTAGCCAGCCGGAGCAGAACAGGCCAGACTACCAGGAGTGGTGCGAAAAGGTCAAACGGATGATCCATTTTGCTGTCGTGGAGCGGAGGATCCCCCACGATCCGGCTATGGGTGCGTTCGTCTTTCCGAACAAGTTCCTCATCGACGACGGCGACCTTGGAGATGTCGTCCTTGCCCACCGAGCGCTTTCAAGGCCCGCCAGTGCGTAGGCTATTTGACCTGGTGCTAAGACTGCTTGTTGCTAGAATGCTGAATTATGGTTCTTGTAAACCGCAATAATAAATGCAATTTTGAAATCCTCAATATCCAAAATGAACAAAAACATAGTATAGTTCTGAATAATTTGGTCACGAATTTGCAACAAAACGGATTGCACCTGAATGTCATCCGGAAAAGCTCGCGTGCCAAATTGGAACTTGAACCGAGCCAAACCTTGTCGCAAGATGTGTCTCGGAGCTCCTATCAAATGACTCCAACCGTCGGTCCAAATTGGCTCCGGATTTTTTTAGGCGAAGACAATCAAAAACAAAATTCGTCCAAACTTGGCATAGGGTTTTTGTGATGAGTGTAACACTCACTCTTCCAACCCCCTTCGTTAACTGCATCCGTTGCACGCTTACCGGTGGGCCAATGCCTGTAACACGAGGGGCTGATTTTTCTAGGGAGCAGGAGCACAAAGTTGGAGTCGATTACGTTCAATACAGCGGCACACATGCATGCGTACGAGCAGCGGATTGAGTCTACATCGGGTTTAGCAGGGTACTGTTTTGTAACAAAAGGCATTACCTTGCTTTGCAGATTCGTTGACCTTCTCCTTCCCTGCAAGGGAGAAACAATGTAAAGAGTGGTGTTAATTGGCACGGTTGAGCAGAGAGTTATACAGCCACGCCATGTGTATGGGCCACAGTGCTTACCTCTCTGCTATCCCTTCGGTTTTTTTGCTGCCTGCGCCTTCTCGTTGCCACCTTTCCGCGGGGTGCTTTGGCGACCGCTTCGATGTTTACCGGCAGGTTCTTTCTTGCTGGAACCCACTGGAACCCCTTTGGCGCGGCCACCCTTTCCTTCTCCATCCCCTTTTGCGCCTTGGATCCCTTGTTTTTTACCACCCCCTTCAGTTTCGACCTTCACTTTACGCGCCTTCGATTTGCCCGCTGCTTCGCCACACAGGGCGTCAACTGCCCGCATTTTCGGGAATGGCGAGTCCGCCCCCCCAGCTTTTCCACTCCCCCGTCTGCCTCACCCGCCTCGTCCCTTCACTGCCACTACATCCTCCTCCTCTTCCTCTTCCGCCCCTTCCTCCTCCTCCTCTTCCTCCTCCTCCTCCTCTTCCTCCTCCTCCTCCGCCTCCACCTCCTCCTCCTCCTCCTCCTCCTCCTCCTCCTCCTCCTCCTCCTCCTCCTCCCCCTCCTCATCCTCGTCGTCCCCCTCCTCCTCCTTCTCCTCCTCCTCCTCCTCCTCCTCCTCTTCCTCCTCCTCCTCCTCCTCCTCCTCCTCCTCCTCCTCCTCCTCCTCCTCCTCCTCCTCCTCCTCCTCCTCATCCTCCTCCTCCTTGTCGCCCCTCTCCTCGTCCTCGTCGTCGTCGTCGTCGTCCTCCTCCTCCTCCTCCTCCTCCTCCTCCTCCTCCTCCTCCTCCTCCTCCTCCTCCTCCTCCTCCTCCTCTTCGTCCTCCTCGTCATCATTCTCATCCTTTTCCTCCTCCTCCTCCGCATCCTCTTCTTCCTCCACTTCCTCCTCATCCTCCTCCTCATTAGCCTCCTCCTCCTCATCCCCCTTATCCCCCTCATCCTCCTCCTCCGCATCATCACGGTCTTCTTCGCCCCGTTTCAGCCTCTTCCCCCTCGCTCCTTGCTTGCCCCTCCTTACGCCGGATGTTTTCCTCGCTCTGGGCCGGCCCTTCTGGCGCAATGCATGACCCGTCACCTTGCCACTTGCTTCCCTGGCGCCTCGCGTTGACCCAACTTCCGCACCACCGGCGTCGTCAGCACTGTCTGTCGTCTGCCGCCTCTTCCCCCGCGTAGTGATGTCCCCAGCCACGGCAGTGTCATACTCTTCCTCCCCATTGCTCTTCCTCGACCTACGCCTCCCACGTCCTCCAGAAGGAGGAGAGCCACCGACATCGGCGATTCCGTGTTTAGGATCTTCCATAGTATCGTGCTCCCCCTGTTGTGTGATGCAACCATATGCATTCACGTCTGTCTGCCTCCCATCATGTGTTTGTGCGTCGCATGCGTGGTGTGAGCGTGTGCAAGAAATTTGTGTCTTGTGTGGTTTGGATTTTCTGTGTGTGTGTGTGTGTATGTTATTTGGCTTGAGCAGATATCTGAAGTGATTCCTCTACTCAAGAGCTTTCCGACGAACCAAGAATCGTCGCGATCGGAGCACAACCAAGAAAGTTACGAACATTGGAGTTCGTATGCTTATATATTTTGGTTGCAGCGACTTTGGGAAGTTGTGGCATTGACTCAATATGGGGTACAGACTTGTGGGGGTTGGGAAATTCGAACCCATAACTGTAGATGCTGCCAAGAGGTTGGGTGAAGCCAAACCAGGTTGGTAAGTGTGGCCAAGTTGTGGTGAGGTGGATGGCATGGGTTGGAAAGTGACAAAGGTCAAAGTTTGTTGCCTATGGGGAAGGGAATTGTGTGGCATGGGGTTTCCTTGGTTGGGGACTCTCTCTTGGGACCTTCCCTCTCGTCCTCCTCTTCCCCTCCTACCAGGTTTAGTGCTACTCTAATGTTCTTTTGTGGGACTTGTGAGTTAATTCTGATCGAGTTAAATTTCTGTGGCAGCATACCCCCTAGTGCGCCGAAAAGTATAACTCAAGATATGCTTCAAAATTTGATACGATTCAAATTGGGAAATGTAGTTACGGTTTAGGGCTACAACAAATTTAAATTTCGTGGGATTCTAACAGTGCACCTTTTGTCGACAACGTTTCTTGTGAAGTCGACGTTTCTGTCCAGAAATTGAGACCAACGTTTTTGAGAAATTTGGGCACCTAATCGTCATAGACTCCGTCCTTAGTTTTTTAACAAGTGGTATCAGAGCGATCAAGGACTTTGTGGAGAGTCTACTGAAGTGTGAAGACCCTCCTAGACCCACCATGGCCTGTGGGCGTACCTAAGTGGAGTTCTCGATGTGACTTCCGCTAAGGGGAAACTCCGCCGAAATTTCGTTGGCGCCGACACTTGTGAAGATTGTGTGGATCTACATTGTGACCAGCAAAAGGGGGAGCTAAACCTTTGATTGGGAGCAGAGGAGATGAATCAAGGGAGTGGAGATGCAGCTGAGAAGAGGAGTGAACCGCCACCATCCAAGATTGAGGCATTGGATGGCTCCAACTATGAAGAATGGAGTGGGCGGATGAGGAGCGCCTTCAAGCGCTACAAGCTGCTAAAATTGGCTATGGGAGAGGAGAAGATGCCCAAGGAAGGAGATGCCCGCGATCGGTGGATTGAGCGGAGCGCGGTGCTGTACGACCTCATCCTTCAATCGGTCAACAACGACATGTTCCAGCACATCAAGGATTTGGTGGAGTTGGATGATTCCGGACCGAAGGCGTGGAAGCTGCTACGCGACGTGGTTCAACCCAACACGCTGCCGATGGTGATCGTATTGGAGAAGGAGCTGGCTGCCCTCTCCATGCGGCCGGGAGATGATGCTTGACAAGATCAAGGACACCTATGCGAGGATGGCAGCGGCGGGCAGCAAGGTGTCGGAAATGCAGCAGTGCACCAAAATCATCTCAATGCTCGACAACTCGTGATACAACCTTTTCCCCACCCTCAACGCTCAGCAGGACAAGTGGACGCCTGAGTGGCTACGGCAGCAGATCCTGCAGGAGGACTTCCGCAGGCGCCATACGGGAGGTGGTGCTGCCAACAAAACTGCTGAGGGGTATGGAGCTGCAGGAGGCAGCAGGGGGAGAGGGGGAGGGAGAGGCCGAGGCCATGGGAGAGGCTTTGGCAGAGGAAGAGGCCGAGGTGACTACAACGAGGGGCATGAGAGCTCTGGTGGCAGGGGGAGCACCCGAATGGAGGGTGCGTGCTGGTACTGCAAGAAGGCTGGACACCCGTGGTTCAAGTGTTTCAGCCGACCTGAAGGATGGGCACCTCCAGGCATGAAGCCGCCAAGTGGTGAACGTGCACGAGGTGGTGCTGTGCAAGGTTCAGGTGCACAAGGTGATGGTGCACAAGGTAAAGCCGACCCTGGGATGTTCCTCATGGTTGAGGATGTGCAACGGAGTGGGGGTGATGTGGGCTCAGTTGGGAAGGTTTTGATGCACCCCCTCACTCATTGGGTGATCGATACAGGGTGCACGAGTCACATGACTCCATGGGCAGATTTGCTTGATGAGGTGAAGCCCCCTGGGAAGATAAAGTTTGTGGCTGCCGCTTCAGGTGCCTTGCTCCCTGTGATTGGTGTTGGGAATGCCAAGGTTATGGGAGCTAATGGGGGGCTTGTGGGGCTGGGACATGTACTGTTGGTTGAAGGTTTATCCGCTAACCTCCTCTCTGTGCGCCGGCTGCAGAAAAGCAAGGCCAAAGTTACGTTTGGCCCAACCAGCTGCCGTGCAAAGCTTGGGAAGTTGCTGCTGTGGGATTTGGAGGAGAAGAGCAGCTGCATCAAGGACCTGTGGCAGCTGCCCATCATCCTTTGGAATGGGAAACCTCCAGCAACGGCAAAGGCAGCGGCAGCGGCTTAGGCAACTGCGGGAGGAGAGGAGATTGCACCAACTGCTGGGGCCCTGGATACAGTCAAGAAGGTGCAGCAGCCACAGCAATCACATGGTGAGGTGCTTGCTGGTGTGGATGCAATGGCTGCATGGGCAAAGGTTTCGTCTGGGAGTGGTGAGGCGGATTGGGAGACGTGGCATGAGAGGCTGTGCATAATAAACATTCCAATGCTGCAGAAGTTGGTGAAGGATGGGAGTTTGAAGGGATTGGAGGTGAAGGGGGCAGCGAAGGAGATTGGGAGCTGCCCTACATGCCTTGAGACAAAATTCACCAAGTTCCCTTTCAGCAGCAGCACAGGACCAGCCAAGGTTCCACTCGCGCTTGTGCACATGGATGTGGTGGGCTCCACAAGGGCCCCTTCTCTCTCGGGCAGCCGCTACTTCTTGAGGATTGTGGACGACCACACGCCTGCGGTGTGGGTGTACCTGTCAAACATTATATATGTTATGCTTGTGTAGGCTACAGTGGGTTAGCCTATAGGGGGTACACAATTCTAGGGTTTCCTACTTGTACTCATTTCACTGCTAGTTCATTCATTCCTGTTCGCTTATTCTCACATGGTATAGAGCGGGTCCTTCTACGGACCGTTTTTTTTGGGCCCACCGAAGCGCCCCCCGAGGCGCGATCTTTTTTTTTTAGCGACCCCTCGGGTCGCCATTTCCCCTGCGGCCCCGCCGCCTTCACTGACGCGGCCCCGCCGCCCTCTCTGTCGCGGCCCCGCCGCCTGCTCTCACGCGGCCCCGCCCCGGCTCCTTCGCGGCCCCGCCGCCTGCTCTCGCGCGGCCCCGCCCCGGCTTCTACGCGGCCCCGCCCCGGCTTTCACGCGGCCCCGCCGACGGCTTTGTCGCGGCCCCGCCCAGGCCCTTGCGCGGCTCCGCCGCCTGCTCTCACGCGGCCCCGCCCCGGCTCCTTCGCGGCCCCGCCGCCTGCTCTCGCGCGGCCCCGCCCCGGCTTCTACGCGGCCCCGCCCCGGCTTTCACGCGGCCCCGCCGACGGCTTTGTCGCGGCCCCGCCCAGGCCCTTACGCGGCTCCGCCGCCTGCTCTCACGCGGCCCCGCCCCGGCTCCTTCGCGGCCCCGCCGCCTGCTCTCGCGCGGCCCCGCCCCGGCTTCTACGCGGCCCCGCCCCGGCTTTCACGCGGCCCCGCCGACGGCTCTGTCGCGGCCCCGCCCAGGCCCTTACGCGGCCCCGCCGCCTGCCCCCGTCGCGGCCCGGTCACCTCCTGACGGCCCCGCCGTCCCTTCGTGACGGCCCCGCCGTCCCTTCCTGACGGCCCCGCCGTCCCCTCCTGACGGCTCCTGCCGTCCCCTTCTACCGGCCCCGCAACTGCACCTGCTGGCCCCGCCGCTGCACCTACCGGCCCCCCACCACCCACCCCCCCTTTTCCCGTCGCCTGTCGAGGCGACCTGAGGGGGCCGCTTGCGGAGGGGTGGCAGGTGTGTGGCCTCCCCTGCTTCTCCTCCTCCTTCATCTCCCACTGCAGCAGCCGAGCCGCCCCACAGCCGAGCCGCCCCACAGCCGAGCCGCCCTGCCGCCGAGCCGCCGGGTCGCTGAGCTGCTGAGCTGCAGTTGCTGCCGAGCCGCCCTGCCGCCGAGCCGCCGAGTCACCGAGCTACTGAGCTGCAGTTGCTGCTGAGCCGCCTTGCCGCCGAGCCGCCCGAGTCGCCCGAGCCGCCGAGCCGCCGAGCTGCCGAGCCGCTGAGTCGCCGAACCTACTCTTCCCACCACTGGTGAGCTCTTGCCCTGCTAGCACGCTGCGCGTCGCCTGCTTGCCTGCCTGCCTGCCTTTTGGCTTGCCTGGCTGCCTGCCTCCCTGCTGCTAGTCCTGCTCTTGCTTCTACTTGCGGAGCCAAATGCAGCCCCAGCGACGCCGGCGTGAGTCCCTCACGCCGCAGCAGCTGCGTGAGTGGTACGCTGGTTGGGGCTGTAGGGGTGGCGACGCTACTCCTACTACCACTCCTGCTGCTTCTACTCGTGGTGGCGGCCAGATGCAGCTCCCACGACCCTCTCGCGTGTCTCTCACGCCTCGCCAGCTTCGTGAGTGGTACGCTCAGAGTGGAGGGTCTCTCAGTGCTGTTCGCTGCTCTTACGTGATTCGCACTGGTACTCGGACTGGTCAGCCTTGTGGGACACGTAGTCATACACCGTCCCGCTGCTTCGCCCGTCTGAGCGACGCCTGGCGTACCGTGTTTGGCGACGAGGCTGAGCTTCTCGACTGGGTGGAGTTGCTTAGGCAGAGGGTAGATATATATGCTCTTGACTATGATGCTATTCTCACTGCCATGTATGCATTGCCTACTAGTGCTGACCGTGCAGGTCACCTGTGCGTCCCGCCTGACCCAGGTATAAGACCTGCTGCTCTAGCTACTGGTGAGGCTGCTGCTCTAGGTGCTAGTGAGTCTGCTTCCT